TTCAAAAGTTAATCAGCCTAAACTTGAATCATTCAGATGCCATCCATGGACCATGGTATGAGTTCGTGAGATCGAATTGCATTTTCCTTTTTACCAAAAGAATTGTCATGTATTCCAAAACATTATTTGCTTATGTACATGCATTACATTTGTATATTTAATTGCATGCTTGTTTCTGAATTTCATGGATAGATCCAAATTTTCTGAAACCGGTAATACAGAGAAAGACTCACATAAAAACGGCACATCGCAAGCATGGGGTTGGTCCAATAATTAATTTTCACATGTAAATCATTCTCTACAAGCATTATATTATTAACATGAGATGCCACGTACGAAGTTACACTTTACAAGAAGACTGTACCAGTGTGACCAAAGCAGCAAAAAGAAAAATAAAATGAAGGATAAGAATAATCCATGAGAGATAACAGGAGATGGGGGAATCTATGCAGAGGTTTATATTATAAGGCAACACCGTAACCAGTGTGACCAAAGCAGAAAAAAGACAAATAAAATGAACTTTCAGTGATAATCGATAAATTGAAAGAGAGATAACTATACGATTGCAACATTTTTTTTATACAAGATAGTGTTGGAATAGAGAGTGGAACCTAGAAACTTGTTCTTAATTACTTTCTTGGATTACAAATCTCTTGTTATATAATTTCTACATCAAATGTGAATAATCCAACTGTAGATATCGAAGTTTTGGTGAAAAATAAATGTATCTACACATTAAAGTTTGACATATCAGGGCTTAGGTAACATACATTATGTGTCTCATAAATCGTACATATGGCATATGATTCATGAAAACTGGACGAGTCATCAAAAGTGACACGTGTTGACATTTGGCTGAAAGTAATTTAGGAATTATCTTTATTAATTCTTTAATTAATTTTAATCAAAACAAATTAATTGATTTAAAATGCCAAATCACGAACTAAGCCACAAATCAAGTCTTGATTCTTTGGTTAATGAATCAAGCCCAGAAGCAAGACCAAATCATCTGTAGGCAAGACTTGGATAGTCTATAAATATGACGCTTAAAGCAAAGAAAAGGGGCAGAAAATTATTCTCATACCTAGATGCTAAAGTTCTCAGGCCCCCAATTCACAAACACTCAAACATTCAAGAAGACTCAGAAAACTTTTTGCGTTCTTCGTCAAACTCGTGAAGAATCATCAAGCACCACTACACGTGCCAATTTCCATTGCCACAAGTCAAACCCTTGAGGGATCTATTCATCCAAGATCAAGTCATCACGACCTTTGGATCAACGACAATACGCATACACACTTTGTGGACAACAAATCAAAGGATTAAAATTGTAATTAGAGATTTTAACCCCTACATTAATACAAATTCTTTATTTTTTCCACATGTTCTTGTGTCTTTGTTACAAGAAATTCGCGTTTACACAAACAAGTATCATGTACTTATTTAATACAAATGATACTGAGTGAAGAGGGAGTTACACATAAGGTCACGACCACAAGAGTGATTATTTTTAACCAGCTGGGCTATAGCTAGCTACATATATAGAACAAACCTATCGAGGTTTTAGACGGCTTGTGATGTATCTTATCCAAATGATTCTGCTCTAACATCACAACCTTAGTAGCGCGTAATTATAAGTTAATGTGACCGGCTCCAGGGCTCGGTACTGATTGCGCTTTGACAGAACGAAGCTGATCATGAAGAGTAGTGATGAAGTGCTTTACAACGCTAACATTGCTTGGCACTGCATGATGACCTTCATGCTCACCCAAAGAAGGTAGTGACCTGTAGTCCCGATCAGTTTCCGTTCCCGCCATCAAGCTGTCATCCGAAGAAAGCTCGCCACCCTTTCCATTGTTTTCAACCCTCAGCAGCCTTCCGGCTCCAAAAGTGGGCATGCAGAAGGCAAAACCAAAGAGGAGGATAAGAAAGAATGGCTTATATGAACGAGCCATTTGCATAACAAATTTGTTAGCTAGCTAGTTGATGAAGTAATTTTGAAGAGGGGTTTAAAGTATATATAAGAGTGCTGAGGGAGATGCGTGGGGGTTAAGTTATAACTAGCTAATTGAAAGTGATGACAATTAGATGGAATAGTTTGGGACATGCATTTTTGGTGGTCCATACTGATTTTGAAAAAGTAGAGAGAATGGTCATTGGAAGTTAGGTACACTTCAACTATAAGAAGCTTACATGCAGTTACGTAGAAATGTGACTCCTTAAATTGCTTATGTACAAAGGTTACAATATATATAGGGTTTAAGGAAAACTCATATATATGCAGTTGAAATCCTAAACTAATTACAATTTAATATACATTCCATTAATTACATAGGAGAATCCGGAATAATTTATCTATTCTAACACCCACCCATCCCCACCCCTACCCCCGCAAACTAGACAATCCTAACCGGACGAGTTTGGAGAAAAAAGACTGTGACGAGACTGATGGAAAGCTTTAGTAAGAAGATCCGCAGGCTGATTAGCAGGAGAAATATAATAAACCCTATGACTACGAGGGCCACATTTTTTACGGACAAAGTGATAATTAAGTTTAACGTGGTGAGTGCGATTGTGCAAGCATGCTCAACATGATTAGAAACAAGATAAGTAGCATTGAGATTATCACATGATAGCTGAATCCCGATCTCTCTTAGAAGAAACAAATCTATGTAGTCTTTGCACGCGCATGAGCAAGTGAACGGTATTCAAATTCAACACTTGACAGAGACACCGTTGGTTGATTTTTAAAGCACCATGATATATCATGTAAAAATATGACTCATTGAATTAATCATATACAAAGGTTACAATATATGTAGAGTTTGAGAAAAACCCTCATGGTAGGAATCCTAAAGTAATTACATTAATATTATGTATAATTACGGAAGAGAATTCAGATTAATTTATGCTATAATAGCAAATTCAAGCACCACAGTGATGTATTGCAAACCTATATCATGCCTCGTCATGTTAGTAAATTAAAATACATTGCGGAGCATGATAGGCTCGAGATTTTGCCACTTTAACATCCAAATTACATCTGAGTTATTTTGCTATGACACGCAATCACGTTGGCCTTCATTAGTGACAATTAGTTTCTATGAATTTTCCACTCAAATCAAACACTCCAAGTCTTCAACTCACCATCATGACATTCCATTTTTGTCTTCGTTGGTTCCAGCACTCCAACAATGTTTGAGATCAAGACGTCCTTCTTTCTTGGGAAGTGTCAGTACTGCGTGAAGGCACCAAGTTGTTAAATTCTATTGGAGTAAAATCGTCTTAGTTCAATGGCTCAAACTCAAAGTTGAAATTCATCAAATCTACCGTTTGATGACAAATCTACAGCGTCGTGTTATCTGAGAGTAATTTACGTGCAAGAATAAATAGTTGGATCTTACATAGGTGATAGTCCATTTTGAAAAAGATAAAAAAAGTATGTTATTTAAACACAAAACTTACACTCTCTAATATAAGTGAATCATACATACAATAGTAGGGCTCACCTCTATTAGAATTGGTCAGATTAATTTATTTTTTTATTTTTTATTTTTGCATAAAACTATTGTATTACTACGTACTCGTGGAAATTCATCTATGAACAAGTATACAGAAAAATTAAACACAAAAGATATTATGATGTCATGTCTCGTGGAACCTGAAGTTTGATTACATTTTAACTTTTGATAATTATGTCCATAAATTGGTTATGACTTCATCTGGATCATTATTTTCTATGACTTTGGGAAAACAATTAATCCTCAAGAGGTCGTATGCAAAAGATTGGTCCACCCACAGGAATATACGAAACCATCATTAGCTGAACCAAGTCCTCCAAACACATCACGGCTTCCTGCAAGACGGGCGTTGGACAACGAGGCATGCTTCCATTTGCAACATTAACTTGTGACACAAGGCATTGTTGCACGTGATGATTTTCTCCCCCTTGCTGCAAGACAGTCACTTCATCACTACATTGAGTTGCTAATTGTCTTACATTAATTGTTGCCGCATGATGAGGATAATTGCTGCCCCCAATTTTCTTCCCCCTACTACTGGGCATTCTTCTTAGGACTAGCTGCTAATGCATGTACAGTGTCAACATATGACATGAAATATGATTAATTCAGGTTGCACGAACACCAGAATATAGTTCCATGCTTTTGTTGAATTCGTTCCCCGCAATATAGATGCATTAAATATGATTCATCCACTAAAGCTAGTTTCTAGTTTTAATTTATGGATTCGATATTTATTATACAAGCCATATTTTTTTATATACAATTTTTATAAGCAGTGTTGGACAAAGGGAAATATAAACTACATGAGTGAATGCTAGCAAGTACTAGCTAGTTTTTTTAGCAAACAAGTCAAAGCTGAGATTTCCCAAGTTACGTAATTGGCAATGGAGTACAAACTGTACAATTAATCACATACAGGACCACTCCTGGGGGACTGACTTCAAAATACGATTGTGATGAACGTTAAAAAATGAAGTTGATGAAGAGTTAGTCATCTTGAATTGCTATTCAGTATTAAATTTGATTGGCACTGCACGGTGATCATCATTCTCATCCAGAAAAGGTGGGAAGACTAAATTTGTAGAGAGTTTTGGAAACTAAGAGACATGGAAGTTGATGATTGGTTTATTACTTAAACGTTGATAAACGTGCTTATTCTTATTGGTGACACATCATATAGTTTGCAAATTTAGTCTTCCTAGCATCACCCGAAGAGAAAACATCAACAAACAAAACAAGTTATGTATCCTTTTGAATGATACATGGGAACCATAAATATGAAAGTAAATTGAATTATTAAGGAGCAACCAAGTGCAATAAAGGAGCATGTAAATACATGTAATTGGAAATACCCTAGTGGACAGGGGGAGGTGAAAGAGAGAACAACAACAAACCTCAGCGCGCGACACGTCTGGAAAATAAAAGTTATTAAAAGAAATTCCCTACAACTTTTAAATTAGAATAATATAGGATCAATCAATTGAACTTCGAGGAACAATTAATCCTCAGGAGTTCCTTCGCAAAAGACTCGATCCACGGAGTATATGCGAAATCATCATTAGCTGCACCGAATCCTCCATGCACATCGCCGCTTCCTGCATGATCAACTTGATCAATTGTTAAACCATATGGTGGCACTGGTTCTGTACAGTGGGGTATGTTGTTGTTTATCAAGCTTCCATTTGCAACATTATCTTGTGAGGATTGCTGCACCTGATGATTTTCTCCCTCTTGCTGCAAGGCACTATCAAGGCACGGCATGGAGCATTGTTGCCTCCAATTTACTTCCTTCAGCAGGGCACTCTGCTCATGATCAGCTCCTAATGCTTGTACATTGTCAACACATGACATGAAGCTTTGATGCTCCCTATTTTCTTCTCTTTGTAGGGCTTTTTGTTCTGAACCAGATGCACGTCCTTGTATATTGTTATTGATGCATGTTTTTAAGAGTTTATTCTTCCAAGTTTCTTCCCCTTGATGTAGGTGTTGCAGTCCCCAATTTCGCTTGCCATGAAAATCAACTTGTTCAAGTTGTAATGGTGTTTGCGGACGGACAACATTGTAAACAATGGATTGAGGGTGGAACTGTTGCAAAGGATCATAAACTTCTGGCCGTTGTACTCGTGGTATAAGATATCCCGCGTTGCTTGGTAAGAAGCATTGCTGCTTTTCTTGTGTCTCAAGCGACACTACTTGCTTTCTATCCAAGTCTCCGTAGTTACTGTCTCCATTGGAGATATCCATATTATTGTCTCCAAGCATCTCCTCGTCTTCTAGATCTCCATGTTTCCTTTTCTTCTCGGATCCGTTGACCTTTTTTCTAAGCATGCACAGAACAATCTTATTCTCCTGCGTTTCATTAAAAAAAAAAAAAATTACATAAAGTGAATACCAAGAAGAAGAAAAAATATATGTATCTCAAGAAGGGACTAAACAAATTAACTTGTCACAATATATATATATATGAGTTTTTCTTGCCTCTCAACTAAATTCACCCAATTTCTATCTGCACTCCATTAAAATATAAATTTAAACTTTTTTTTAAATTTGACCACAATTGTTTCAAAAAAATACCCTCAAACACCAACACCGCACACGCAAACACCCCAAGGCAACCTCCTACCAATATCTGAACTTCTCCATTTTTTTGTGTGTGTCTTTTCTCTGTATTTTTCAATATAAACCAACACGTTGGATGAGAAAAAGAAATCAATTGATGTTAGTTCTAAAACTCTGATTTTTTTTTTCTTTTTTTGAGAATAAGAATGATCTGATTTATCATGGGATTTGGATTCCAACCCACCAGAACCTGCGATACATTTTTGTTTTTATATTTAGAAGATGGAAATAGAGATTGGAGAATTCAAGCCTTCCAAGGAAGCTCAAAGAGTAGGAGGAGGAGGAAGAGCTATAGTCTATAGGCATGAGCATGAGCAAGCAGGTGAGGAGACGCTTCATTCGAGAACGTGCCGGAGTTTTTGTTTTTGAGCCGATTTAAGATTAGGGTTTGCATATATTAACGCTACTTTGTTTTCCCTTTTTTCCGAATATTCCCCAGAAAAAGAAATCTGAAATTATGCTTTCTTTAAAAATCTCGTAATCATAATCTCAACGATCTCTTGATTAAAAGATAGAACACACAAACAAACAAAGGAACCGAAAAGTATATATGCACACAAAGAAAGACTAACAGACATAGAAAACACATGCAAAATAAAACTCAAAGAAGTATATGTACTCACTTGTTTAGGCTCAAGTACCAGCTTTTGATCAATGTCGAACTCATACATGATCCAGCGATCTTGCTGATCATCAGACCCGTTCTTTCTGTAGCTAAATCTTTTTTTATGGCCAATAACATCTTCACTGCCAGAATTTTTAATTTCAGAAGGGCGGTTTTCGCCATTCCACTTGCTGCCAGACGGAAGGGTTCTACAGATACGTGTTCCCTCTGTGGTCTTCAACTTGAGCGTAGTGAAAAAGTAGAGGTCGTTACTCAACTTCAAATCGTTTTCTCTTTTTGTTTTGAATTTCTCCCATATATCCCAAGGTTCCGTGACGCCGTAGAGATCGAAATCAAAGACTGGGGAGTTACCTTGGCCGGGTACCTCCTTTCCGTTCACTTTGGGGTGAAGGTAGTACAGAATTAGTTCCTCATCCGTGGGGCAAAACCTATAGCCTGCTGGAAGATTCATTAATGAAATTCAACCTGAAAACTGAGAAGTATGTGAGTGAACGAGAAACCTAGGGATAGGGTAGGATTGTTTTTAATTGTTAAATAGGGGGTAGGGTTTAGGTTTTTGTTTTGTGATTGAATAAATAGTACGTTAATATATATACTAATTACTTAACCACCAATGAGTAGGATTTCCAAGCAGAATAAGGATAACAATGGAATTATCAAGAAAAAAAATGACGCGGCGAATACTTCTCCATGGCTGAGTAAATTTGGCCTCAAAATCCATCTCCAATTCTACCTCTTCCTCCTACCTACATCCATATGCATCATGCATGTAATGTTACTGTAAAATTATTTTCTTACGAATTATATTATTTTCTTTATAAATAAAATAAGAGAAATTGAGATGCATGGCATGGCTGATGGCTGCTGCCCAGGCGGAAGTTCAAGAGAACACAAAAGGGCTAAGGAAGAACAGAGGGATGAGACATGAGAGATTGGTGGTGGGCCAGAATGTTAATTATTCTTCATTGATGCAATTTGCAAATGTAATATGAAAAAAAGGAGTAAGAGTAGTATTTTTTATTAATTATTTTACTTTTCTCAAAAATTAAAGAAGCACAAAAGAAAATATATTTGGAAATTCTCTCAAATTCCTCTCTTATAAAGACGGTTGATGTTTTATCCTAAAATCAATTAGCTATATAGAGAGTAGTTCAACATCTTATAAACCTCTACAAACCGATATAGAACGATTTTATATTCACATCTTCCTCTCGCACTTATCCACCTTCTCTCAATGACAGACCCGTGCGAGAGGTGAATTGACCTGATTCGCAATCGGGTTGCATATTTTGAAATTCGGGTCGGTTATCAATCTTTGTTGATTTCCCCTTTACATTTTACTTTTTACCGGATAAAATATTACAGACTCTGTGAGGCTACTAGAGTGATGCCACATGCAAACCAACTGAACAGTACTAGAGAAAAAAAACCAAGGCCTCGTTTTGCATCCTCCTTGAATTCAACTTTTTTTGTTTTTGAAACTAATGAACGCTCAAGTAATTTAGTTATATTCATAATTTTTGAAAACTATAACTCATGATCATTTTCAAATTGAACACCTAAGTTTGCTGCAACTGCAAACCAAAAGTTAGGCGGAGTCGAGGAGCAGGCGTCAAGCGCCTCCAAGCTGCTGCAAAACCGAATAAAGAGCTGGTTCAACTTGAGCCAGAAAACCGATGAAAGTCATCTACCTTAGTCAAGCATGACTTCAAATTCAAAATGATTTCTGGTTTAGCTATAAAGAACTTGTTCCGCTTAAAATTGACAATGTTAAGCTATTCCTAATTCCCTTCTGATTACTTGAAGTTCGATTAGGCCTTAATTTTTCAACTGAATTTGCTCTGTATATATGGAGCTTAACTATGCTGCCCTCAGGCCACAAAGATCACAATCTCTTTAGCACCCCTGCCTGACCGCCTTCCTATATGATTTCATATATAGAACCATAATTAAGGCCTTGGGCGCTATATTCAACGGAAGTTAATTAATGTATTATTTTGTCCAACTAAAGGTAGTAGATGAATTAGCTATGAAGAAAACTAATCCCCTCCTAAGCGTCCCAAAAATGCTAGGATTTCGAGCGATAAGGTTTGCCCATGGCTAATTCATCTTCTACCTTCACTTACTAAAAATGCAATTAATTCATCAATCAATACTTCTAGTGAGTTATCATATCCAAGTCAATTTTAGACAAGAAAAAGAGGCCTAAATTCCATTGCAGTGAGCCTCCATGATTTTATACAAAATTCAAATTCTATTACAATTTACTTCATTTATGTGTTTAAAATGGTTTCTCAACATTTCTTTCCAGTCAGGGAAACATATATAAGAAGTGCACAAAAAGTTTAAAAAAGATTAAAGTATATTAATAAACACAAGCAAAAAGCAAAAGGAAAACAACAACAACAACAACAGTAAGAAAAGGCAAATTAAGCAGACGATCTGTGCGCACACAACTTTGAACAACTCCAAAGGTAGGGGAAGGGAATCTATTATTTCAAGTTTATAAAGAAAGAAAGAGCCGTTAGTTTTGTGCTGCTGTGTCCTCAAAGACTCAAAAAGCAAACCTGTGGCCTCCGCAGAAGACACATGCAGGTCTGAAAATTCCTTTTGCTACCATGCAGACCATTTCTGCTTGATGGGTCACTGTATCATTCAAATCCAGCCGCCAACATCTATGACTTTATCAATTAAGAAATTTGAAAGCCTACTTCAGTACTGTGCCTATAATTATAATACCTAAAGAAAAAACATTCGAACAGTCAAGTAGTATACATTTTTTTTACACTCTGATACGAGCGATATCGGGGGTGGGTAATCGAACATGTCATGAGAGCGGAGGTAAATATAGTTTTAACTACTTAAGCTACAAACTATTTGCTCAAACAGTCTAGTTGTTTTATATATCGATCTACAAACTATACGAGCATAAAATGACAAAAGTTCATTATATTAGAAGCTAGAAATTAAATATACTTAACAAGATTTATCCATAACTCATATATAACTAAAGTTGTACAAGACACCTTCTTTTCCTCGTTGAACCTTTTTCTAATTAACAGCTTATAATTAGTACTTTTTTCTCTTTGGGAAGCGATTAAAGGGGGTGTTTGAATTAGCTCTATGAAACGGAGAGCACCAACTGCTATTGCCTTGGAGAGCACCATAAGGCCTGCAACAAGAAATAAAACAACATATCATCACCATTTTCAATGCTAGTTCAACATGCATAGCATTCGCTTCACATAAAAATAACCCCATCCGTGCATTCAATTGTTCCTTTCTCCGCAAGAGGCACAGTACTATATGTGATTGCCAAAATCTTCACAAAGAGAACTCAATATTATACATATTATATAAAATTTCGTTATATTGAGAAAAAGTTGAGGGGAATGTTTTCGTGCTAGACTTGAAATTATTTTGTCATAATTAAAAGTTAAAATCCTTATAGGGGTGTGATATTCACATACCTATTTTTACTTCTCACACACCCTTCTAATTTTCGGTCGTTGGATAGGGTGATTTGAAGAAGATCAAAGGGAAGAAATTAATAAGGGGTGTGAGAAGTAAAAAGGAGTGTGTGGATAGCACACCCCCACTTATATTGCTAGATTGTTCACCAAACCATACATTCGGGTTGAAATAAATCTAATTAACGATCCAAATCCATTATGTATCTACACAAACATCTTATATTGTCAGACAATGTTACTCCCAAAGAGAAAACATTTCCCTTAATAAAAAAAGATAAAAGAAAATCAAATATTTAAGAAACAAGCAAAGCATCTCCCTCATGCACCACGGTAAACAGGGAATTTCCACAAAGTAAGAAAGCAAACACTTACAGCGATCAAAGAGAAGAAGCGTCTGGGCCAAGCCATCTTGGCATTCTTAAGTTTGCAGCAGTATATTTCTTCATCTTCATCACAACACGATATGATAATATTCCCGGGTGAGTCCAGAAACACCCTCCGGCGTAATGGAGGAGACCACAGACCACTCTGCTCGTAATCGAAGTCGTATTGCGAAGCATCAAAAAACTTCCCCAGAAGCCTCTCAGATACCGACTTGGAAACCATTTGAATGCTGGGAGTAGTACTTGTACAACTTGAAGAGCCTGCAGTAGTACTTTCCGAATTCGATGAGGCAGGTGAAGAAGGATTAGACATGGACATATTGAGAAAGTTGAGAGAGAAAGAGAGAGAGAGAGAGCGAGCAAGCGAGCTATATATGACCGTATCGTCTAGGCTTTTAGAAGTTTCTGAGATGGAAAAACATTGGTTGGGGGATTGGGGATTGAGGTTAGGGGGACATGGAATTATATATGGTGGGGACGTGATCGAGTACTATGATTTGAGGGTCTTTTTAATGGGTTTTTTAAATATAAATCTTCGCAACTCTTATTTTCTAAACAAAAACCTACCTAATTCTAAATTTTTAAATAAAATCCAAATTTGAAAATGACTGCCAAGTAAAAAAATAATTGACCTATATATTATTACAAAATATTTACAACTTGTACCACAATATTCAAAATAAATGTAATTACTCACCTTAATTACAATGAACAAATAATTATTACACATATTAGTGTATATAGTACAACCATGAGCTGAATATATATATATATATATATATGCACAGTACTACATATATGTTCAAACATATTATACTAATTAATCTACCTATATGTAAATTAATGATGAGCAACTAACTTATATTTTGTAGGTAAATTAATGTTGAATCAAATAACATTCTTTTATTTAGTAGGTAATATATTTTCCATGCTATTACATATATTTGGTGCATTTTATTATTACAAGATATATGTACAAATAATAGGTAAATTAATTTTGAATCAAATAAAATTGCTTTATTTTGTAAGTAAATTAATTTTGAATCAAATAACATTCTTCATTATGTAGGTATTTTATTTTTTATGTATATATTGGGCACATTTTATTATTATATGTACAAATAATAGGTATACTAGTATTGAATGAAAAAAAAAACTATTTTCCATGTAGGTACATTATTTTGCATGTATTTTGCATCTATTGGGTTTGCTTTATTATGTAGGTAAATTATTTTGCATGTACTTTACATTTATTGGGTAAATTATTTTGCTTGTTTTCAAGCATCTAACATTTTAAAATTTGAATAGTAGGTGTGACATCCCACATCGCCCAGGGGAGTAATCCTTATATGTATATTCTCATCCCTACCTAGCACGAAGCCTTTTGGGAGCTCACTGGCTTCGGGTTCCATCGGAACTCCGAAGTTAAGCGAGTAGCACGCGAGAGCATTCCCAGGATGGGTGACCCATCGGGAAGTTCTCGTGTGAGTTCCCAAAAACAAAACCGTGAGGGGGTGGTCGGGGCCCTAAGCGGACAATATAGTGTTATGGTGGTGGAGTAGGCCTGGGAAGTGGTCCCCCTTGGGCCGGGATGTGACAATTTGGTATCAGAGCCAAACCCTGGTCGCGTGTGTGCTGACGAGGACGTCGGACCCTTAAGGGGGGTGGATTGTGACATCCCACATCACTCAGGGGAGTAATTCTTATATGTATATTATCATCCCTACCTAGCACGAGGCCTTTTGGGGGCTCACTGGCTTCGGGTTCCATCGGAATTCTGAAGTTAAGCAAATAGCGTGTGAGGGCATTCCCAGGATGGGTGACCCATCGGGAAGTTCTCGTGTGAGTTCCCAAAAACAAAACCGTGAGGGCGTGGTCGGGGCCCAAAGCGGATAATATCGTGCTACAGTGGTGGAGCGGGCCCGGGAAGTGGTCCCCCCCGAGACGGGATGTGATAGTAGGTGCACTGAATCAAATAACATTTTTTTGTAGGTAAATTATTTTGCATGAATTTTTACGATATCATGCATGTTTTTTTGTTATATATATGTGTGTGTGTGAAATAATTTACCTACATTTATATGTAAAATATAATTTGATTGACTAAACTAAGCATGTATTATTACATATATTAGACATGTTTTATTGTTATTATATATTAGGCAATAATTATCTTTTTATTTTTGTAAAATCATTAAATCTTCCTTACAATCCGTATTAATTGTGTGCATCAAACATTCAAATAGGGGTATTTTAGGCATAATATTTTTAAATGTGTAAAGTGAAATATAATTAATGAATTTGCTAATTTGGAATAAAAAACTTATGTTGAATTTTATATGGAGAAAATAAAGTTTCAGGAGCTAAATTCATATTTGATTTTAGGGTTTAGGTTTTTTAAAGCATCTTTAGGTTCATGTCTCGTTGGGTCCAACCTCGTATGCACTTTACCAAATTCCCCATTAATTGTGCTTAGGGGGCAAAAGTTGTACTGGAAAATCTGATTCCCATCCTAAAATTACCAAAGTTCACGTGAATCAGATTGAAATCCGAAATTCTGAAAGGAAAAAAAAAAAAAAGTGTTTAGCTAACTAGAAATATACATTGCTGGTGTGGAAGCCAGACTTGTAATCAGGAGAGGTTGAAATGCTAAGTCTTCCCAGTCTTTAAAAGTAGTAGATAACCGTGGCTTACCATCCGTTGTCCCCCTTTTAAAAATAAATAAATAAAAACTAGAAATATACACTAATCACAACATCTACATCAACTTGATATGATGAAATGTCTAAATTACCCTTATATATAGCACATACAACATCATACTATTGTACTGAGATACTATTGTTATCATATCGAAAATGTTAAGATAGTGCAAATAATTTATGTGCCATTATGTATCTATTGTTGATACAAGATTCATAATGATGTATGTATGTATCTATATATTATCAACAATATGATTTGGATATCGTTGATATTGTTCAAGCTGGAGGATTATGATGGTTTACTCACAACTACAAGTAGAAGGATCCGAAGAAGAAAAACGAACTCGTATCGACTAGATATCGAACTAGAACAAGTTAGGATCGAGTCTGACTATGTAAGAGAGTGAGAGTCACAAAGAGAGATACAACACTAAAGAGTTCCTCTCCTGAACTTTTGCATTGACTAAGAGAGTTAGGATCATTAACTTTCGTTATCTCCTCGATTTTAGCGCCCTAATGCCCTTTGATTCAAAATTTCTATGTAATAAAACTATAAATTTCTCATATTTAGAAATATGGTGCCGTTTATTCTCTTTGAAACCACACTTGTATAAAATAAAAGGAAAAATAATGAAAATGACTTGAAATTTTTGAGTTTTAATGATAAGGATAAAATAAAGGGTAGAGTGAATAGTACCATTATTGACTTTTTAATGTAAAAATATGATTTTTCGTTAAAGTGAATAGTATCGAGAGTTTTTTGTTAAAATTCTCTAAAATAAAATAAAAACTTACATCTTTTAGAGAAACAATTAAAGAACCTAAGAATTGTTTCATCTTTTGATTCAATCATTAAGGTTTATATAAAACGTGTGGCTTGTTAAAAAAAAAAAAAAAAAAAAAAAAAAAGAAAACCGAGGTTTTTGGCCGTGCAGAGCTGCTCTTTTAATGTCTTCATTTTCAGGACTTGTGCTGTCATTTTTTATATAAATTATTAAATTAATTTTACGGTAAATTAAATTATCAATTTAAATATTTTTTGTTGCACAAATATAAAATACTTACTACTAAGAAAAACAAAAAAATAAGAAGAGAATCATTCTATCTATAAAAAAAAGTACTGATATTTACATGGACGTTTCCTCAATGTACAAATTCCTTTGACATCAAGTTTCTGGCGCTTTTTTTAATTAAAAACGCTTTCACACTTCCCAGTCCCACTTCAGTATCCCCACCGAAAGCTGCACCTCTCTGCAACTCTGTCTCTCTCTCCCCCTCTCTCTTAATTCGAACACCAAAAGTTAGAGAACTGCAGAAATGGCTGGATACAGAGCCGACGATGACTATGACTACCTCTTCAAGTTGGTCTTGATTGGGGACTCCGGCGTGGGGAAGTCCAATCTGCTCTCTAGGTTCACCAAGAACGAGTTCAATCTCGAGTCCAAATCCACCATTGGCGTTGAGTTTGCAACCAGGACCTTGACCGTTGACGGCAAAGTCATCAAGGCTCAGATTTGGGACACTGCTGGCCAAGAAAGGTCCTCCCTTTTCTTCTTCCTCCATGGATTTCCCCATCTGGGTCTTGCTAGTTTTCGATTTTATTTTTTGGGTTTGTGAAATTTTTTTATGCTGGATTGGTAAATTTTGTGTTGTGGTGAAGTTTAATTTTTGGGTTTTTGTGAAATTTGGAGCGGATTTGGGTGATTATTGTTGCATGTAGTTTTTTTAGCTCAGATTTGTTGAATTTTGTTTGTTTGTTTTTTTTTTTTCATGTGAAGTTTGTGCGTTTAGGAAGATTTGGGGTCACTTTTGTTGCAGAGACTCATTGATATTAGGATTTGTTTCTGGTTTTCTTGATCTTTGAATAGTAGGTGGGACTTAGATCTTGGTTGGTTGAGATCCATGCATTGTCAAGGAAAAAGATAAGTTAACTGTGGTAATATGCTTGCCTTCTTCTCGAGGCACGTACCGGGATGAGGTAGATCTTAAATTCCTGCTGTTTGTGGACTCAGATCTTAAATTTAGTGAGTAAGTACTATTCCTTAATTACTAATACAGAAGAATGCTTTGCCGTGAAGCTTCTGGCATGCCTTTAAATAGGGATTAGCTAGCATAGTATTTAAACATTGCCTAGCATGTAAGCGAAAAACATTACCTAGGAAATCGTTGTACGTTTTTACAAAAGGCCGTCAGTAAAATAAGAAAGAAAAAGAGAACCAAGGACGTATAGAACATCCTCTTTCCTTTATAGATAATAGTGGCGCAGCATCGTACTAGTAGCTTCCCTTTTGGTTACAACTTACTTGCCACAGATTAGCTTCTCTCCCTTTAAATGCTGGATAGAAGTTTGTGCTGGTAGTTAGAACTTACTTTGCATTAACAGGACTTACATTAACAGGGTGGGCTTTAAGGGTTGACAAAGAATGGCAGAACAGAAGGAACAGGACCGAGTCAAATTAGCATCTGTCGCGTCTGCATATATTCTGACAGTTAGAATCTAAGGACTGAAAACAGATGCTGAGAAAAGTAGTGTTTGTAGAATGTTGTTTTCTGTTGAGATTTTCCACTTGATCCTTTAGGCATGGTCGTTGTTCTTAACTAGTTGAAAGGACTAGTGGTTATGTTTGAGACTCATAGGGAATCCATTATCAAAAACATAAGCAGTTCCCTTTTTGTAGTAAATACAAATATGAACGAGAGCTTATTACCTGACTGAAATTTGATGCAGTGCAAGGGCTATTGCTAATTATGCTTATTTTCTTCTTGTTATGCGTTTCACTTTGTGCACATTTCATTTGGCGGTTATGGAGGCTCAGCTCATAGGATATATCTGAAAAGGAATACTATAAGCTGATGAATATTGCTGCTTTCTGGTCGGTTTTAGCTGATAATATTGCTTTTTCTTGTTTCTTGGCATTCAGTTGGTGCAACTTATTAAGGCCAAATTTTATCTTTTGGAAACTTAGAGCATCATTATATTAATCAAATTACTGTTGCTAGTATATGGCTTATGCATTGGCCAGAATGTTTCACTACGATTCAGGCTTATGATTTCTAATAGTGAATTGCGGCTCATAATCCATTTTGGCAAAGGACTTTCCCCCTTGCTTTTGAAGTCTGCTTATGACTGTTTCTCTTAGTGATGCCCTTCTACATATTTTTTATGCTTAAGTTTTCCCTCTTGGTTTCATAGGTACCGCGCCATCACTAGTGCTTACTATCGCGGGGCTGTGGGTGCACTCCTTGTGTACGATGTAACTCGCCATGCGACATTTGAGAATGTGGACAGATGGCTGAAGGAATTGAGAAACCACACCGATTCCAACATTGTTGTGATGCTCGTTGGGAACAAATCAGATCTCCGCCACCTTGTAGCTGTCTCAACTGAAGACGGGAAGTCCTATGCTGAGAAGGAGTCACTCTACTTCATGGAAACGTCTGCACTGGAATCTAAGAATGTAGAAAACTCCTTCGCTGAAGTTCTGACTCAAATATACCATACTGTGAGCAAGAAGGCAGTTGAAGGGGGAGAAAATGGAACTTCATCTGTCCCAGCACAAGGAGAGAAAATAAACATGAAAGATGACGTGTCCGCGTTGAAGAGAGTTGGGTGCTGCTCAAGCTAGGCCTGGTAAACAAAACTTGATTGAATGAATATGGCTTCTATGAACTGTGTAATATTTTGCAGAGGGACACAAACTAGAGAATACCGGAACACGAAATTTTTACTCTGAGTAAGCTAGCTTATGTTATTCTCGATTAGTAGACAATTTCAGCGGATGCTGATTAGCACTTTTAATTCGCACTTCAGCACCATCTATCTATGCCTTTAAATTTGTTGTTAGCAATGATATATTTGTTCAAATTCAATATCAGCATCGCCTTTCTTTTCGAAGGAAGAGGATCCTCTCCGGATCCACCTGTGGGGATCCTAGGAATCCCTACATCTTGCCGTTTGTTGTATATCGTGTAGTTAATTTTCGTTAGATATTGTTTGTTTTTAATTTTAAATAAAAATGTCAGATGATTTTTAACGCACGATACACGACGAATGATTAAGATGTGGAGATCCTTAAGATTCTCAAAAAGTGGATTTGGATGGGAACCAATTCTCTTTTCGGATGAGTAAAACTTCCTGATCAACGCGTACAATGTAGTGCCACGTCATCGATTAATTTTTTTTAACCTTGAACCTTGGACTGGAGTTCAAAATTTAAAGATTTTGATATGACACGATTTCAAGACCTTGACATGAGGCCATAGATTCCAGATACTAAAATCGTAGGTGTAATCGGATGGATAACACATTGTATTTGTTTTTTTTCCTCACATCACATGACGAAACAGAAAAGTGCAAAGTTATATATACTCAATTACATTTAAGATTTTTTCGTATAATAATTTTAAACACGGTTCTAATTTGAATATTAAACTTTTAGGTTTTTTCATTTGTATCTAAAAATATCAAGTTCTTTAATAAAAAAGGGTTTAAAATTTTAAATTACAAAGCCTTAACAAGAACTTAACCAAAAGCCCATCACTCTAAAACCCCCACAGCTCCCGCCCAATTCAATCACTCTCTCTCTTCCCAAAATCCCTCACCCACTCTCTCTCTCTCGAACCCAATTCGAACTGAAGCAACCAGAGCAAAACCCCCTTTCGGCGACAATGAGAGAAGAAGAGATTGAAAAGCTTCGTGGAGTAGTTCGGGACTGCGTGACGAAGCACCTCTACTCCTCCGCCATCTTCTTCGCTGACAAAGTCGCTGCCTTTACCAATGACCCTGCCGATATCTACATGCAAGCTCAGGCTCTCTTTCTCGGCCGCCATTACCGACGCGCCTACCACCTCCTCAATGCCTCCCAGATCGTCCTCCGTGACCTCCGATTTCGCTACCTCGCTGCCAAGTGCCTGGTAAGTCTATCTTGCTGCTGAAATTAGGAAATGGGTTCTCTTTGTTTGCTGAGTTGGTTCAATGTTTTTGCTAGAAATTGGGTTTTCCATTTGTGGATTTTGGGTTTCTTTAGTTGGGTTTTGGTTCACTTTGATACGTGATTTTAGAAAAGGAGAAAATAGGATTTACTTCGTTCTTTCTTACTCGGATTATAAAGGCGACATTTTTTCGTGTTGTCGGATTTTCAAACTCAGTAACATAGATAGATATATTGATGATTAAAAATTGCGGTCTTTCAGCTTTAATTTGGGGTCGATGCAATTGTATTCTGGGTTAATAGGACTGACTAGTTCTTTATGTTTTTTTTGTTTTTGTTTTTGTGTCTGTGTTGAATCAGGAGGAGCTGAAGGAGTGGGATCAATGCATATTAATGCTTGGCGATGCGAAAGTGGATGAACAGGGGAATCTGTATGACACAAAGGATTCCAATATCATGTACTTGGATAAAGATGGCGAAGATCATGAGATCAATGTAAGATTATCTGACTACCTCACCTCCTAGTAAACATTGTTATATGAAAATTTGGCAATAGTTTCCGATGTTCTGTCTGTATATACTACTATCTTTGTCACATAAATGTGTTATTCATATCTTGCAACAGATATCTTCTGCAATATGCTTTTTACGAGGTAAGGCATATGAAGCATTGGAAAACCGTGTCCAGGCCCGGCAGTGGTAAGTTTTTCTATGGGACCTGGCTTTATCATGTAATGTTTAACAGGTGTGCATGTGTTTGAACGTGTTTTTAGGTAAAAGAAATGATACCCTTTGTAGTTTTTAACCTGTAGGAGTATGAGACTTAAGCTTAAAGTTGATCTTGTGGATAGACAATAAATGATTTCTGTAGGTGTGGTATCTGCTGAGAAAGGTTGATTGAAGGGATCCTTTAACTAATTTTAATTTTTTTTTTTTTTTTTTTTAATTTAAAGGTACAAAGCTGCTATCAAAGCCGATCCCTTATGTTATGAGGTACGTTTGGAATATTCCGTTGGATATATGGGATTTTAACTTACCAGAGATAGTTTGGTAAAACACCCGAACACCTGTAAGTTTTATAGAAAAACACTTCAAGGGCCCAATTGGTGAAAAAAAAACTCCTCGACCATCCACTTATCACATTCTAATTGATTCTTAGTTGCAAAATTCATTTGGTATCCTTCTCCCCACCATTGCTAGGTAAGAAGCGAATTTTTCTAAAGTAATTGGTTTGAAGTGTTTTTCTCTGAAGTTTAATCTTATCAAGGGTTTATTTGTTAAAAGCCCAAACTTATTCTTTCTTGCCTTTTCTAACATTTTATGGCCACCAAAAGCAGGGAGGGGAAATAGCATTCCCTACAAAAGAATTGAAATTACTAAAGTATCAACTTGATAAACTGTTTTATCCTTTCAAACATGCTTAAAAATACATGGAATCATTAATCAGAAGGTAGGTAAAATCACTTTCTCATGGGGAAATAAATACCAACTGGAAAATACTATTCAATCCAACTCTTTACCAACTCTATTACATGGGGTGAGACCCATTTGAGAGTGTTAGACAAAAAGTTGAGCGTTCTAGCATCTTCAGTTTCAGCCTTCAAACTTTTTCTACTGACCTTTTTAATTTTCTTTCAGGCTTTGGAATGTCTTATTGAGAATCACATGCTTACATGCGAGGAAGGTTAGGGTCATTTAAATAAACTTTTCATTTAATCAAGTTCAATTGTTATTCAAGGAAGTAATATCATGTCTTTTGATACTACCTTTTCAAGTTAATTAATTAAATATGTTTTAGGCATCTGGCACTTTTATCTTTGTTGATCCATAGATTGCATTGGATTGTTTCCTCTGCATTTATTTCATCAATCATTTAACTATGGATTCCATGGTCCCCTACTTATACCTTTTTATTTGCTGCTGAGTTCAGAGGCGAGCCTACTTTCATCATTACAATTTGGTCCTGAAGATGGATGGCTCTCGTCATTCTACTCATGTTTAATTAAAAAGGTAAATCGAAATGCATTTCAATATGTCACCCTTTAAGTGTCGAACATAGAGAAGACATCTTACATCCAAACAATTTTTACCCTTTTAATAAATATTACTGTACAAAACATCATATAACAATATAGTTTGCTGTGTTCTCATCAGTCCTCCTTTTTGTGTTTTCCAGTATGACAAAGAAAATGTTGTAGAAGCAAAATTCAGAGAACTTGAGGAAGAAAGTTGTAGTAGTAACACTGAGCAATCCTTCATTTGTACTCTGAAAACCAACACCGACCTTCTAGCCTGCAAAGCTGAATACTATCATCAGTGTGGTGAATATCAAAAATGCTTTGAGCTAACTTCCGTGTAAGTTGGGAACTGGTTTGGAAGCAAAATACGATCATACCTACATTTGAGATTTTATTTCCCCCCAAAATTTATCTGCATTTTATTCATGATTCAACAGACTACTCGAAAAAGATCCTTTCCATCTGAAAAGTACGTTGGTGCATCTAGCAGCAGCTATGGAGCTTGGGCATTCGAATGAGCTCTATCTTATGGCATGCAATCTAGTGAAGGACTATCCTCAAAAGTGAGAGTGGTTGAAAACCATATTACTCGAGTCAATACTGTACAATTTGAAAATTGAAAGTGCATCCATAAATACTTATGCATATACTACCATTACTGGGAATACCCATGAGATGAACATGGAATATGGATTGCGGTTTCCAGGGGTTTTGGGGGATCTTGTAACCATGATTTGAGATGCCAAAAGAAAGATGGACTTTGAATTTTCTTATGTTTTGTCGCTTTTGTGATTCATTTAGTTCAGTACTTTATCAGGTGTATTCTCTTTGCAGGGCTTTATCATGGTTTGCTGTTGGTTGTTACTATTATTGTATCAAAAAGTATGTTGAGTCGCACCGTTATTTCAGGTAACTCCATCACAATTGGTAATGCTGTTAAATGAAGTGTATACATGTAATATATTTTGAGTTGCCTTATTTGCCCCATGTTGACTTGTGATTTTTTCGTTTAGACCTTTCAATTTCTGCATTATTGGTTTGAGATCCTTTTGATTATGACAGTTATTTTTTGTTTATGCTTTGAAGTTTATTCTGCAGTTATGCTGTGTATATGAGAAAATAGGTTATGAGCATTCTTTTTCCTCAGCTTCCCTGATATTTCTGTTTTGTGTCCTTGTTGCCTGATAAATGGCCTTCACATCATACTGGATGCTTTAGATTATTTAATGTGAATTCTGCTGGATTATATAGGGATTGTGCTGTAGTTAGGCTCATAACCTTAATCAACCTTGCATCAGTTGTTACCACATTGATAATTTTAAATGTACTTATGTTACATTGCTTTGTATTCCTCATATATTAATAGATCCTTTTTAGGTTGAAAGTTTGGACCAATCCTGGTTTGGATTTGATTTAGTCCTGCTTGAACATGCCCCCTGCTTCCTCCCTCATTTGGTGACAAGCATTTGGAACAACAATCTGTCCCTAATACACACACACGAAAATAAAAAAAAATCATTTGAAGTGATAGCAGTTGAAAAGGAGGGGTTATTGTTTCCTTGTATGTTTCAATATCTTGAATCCTTACTGATTTCTTTTGGGTTTGTTTTACACTGTAGCAAGGCTACCAGTCTAGATGGGACCTTTCCACCTGCTTGGATTGGATATGGGAACGCATATGCTGCTAAAGAAGAGGGTGATCAGGCCATGTCGGCTTACCGCACTGCTGCTCGTTTGTTTCCAGGGTAATTATGTATCTCTCTCAGCATCTTACGTTGACCATTACCTTGAATTTTGTTTCCTTCTGCCACTTGGGAATACCAGGAAGAAGATATGATCATGTTATTTAGGCAAATTTTAGAGATTAGTATAATTAATAGGAACTAAAGTCATTTAACTGAAACAAAACACAAATTTTGTAGAACCTTCAATTTTATCTGCTTGATATTTTCCTTTAGTTTGATTGGAGGTGATATGGTAGGGCACATAAAGCTTCTGTTTTTTATCCTAGTAGAAAGAATAAAATTATGGTAAGAACCATCACCTACCTGTGCGCAGTGGTTAATGGTGTCAGAGTAAAAAGGTATAATAAGAAAAAGTCAAGAACACAGCAAAATCTTAGGTCTTGAGAATTGGAAAACTTCAAAATGAATTTCTAATGATCTTACTTGGAGTATTATCATTAGTTTGTCTCTTATGTCCAATAGTCCGTAGTTTAATTTCTCTTATTATGTATGAATTGTGTTTTACAGGTCTTGATATTCTCTTATTCCAGGTGTCATTTACCAACTTTATACATTGGGATGGAGTACATGCGAACCCATAGCTTTAAGCTTGCCGAGCAGGTAAAATAGAGTCCTGCAAACTACTTACAGATTGCTGTTTGTGATCTTGGTGTTCAGAAATGTGAAATAATCCTCATCTATACCAATCATACAAGGAAAACCCTGAATGGCATATTTACCTCATGACTTACTACATTTTCTTAAGTCACAAACAACTCTTTACATTAAAAGATTAATCTATAAAAGTTTGAGAGCATGATGGGCAGTATGAGAAGTGGATAACTCCAAGAGGAGTTAGCTTTGTCATAAGCACCTGCACTTGAAGAAAAAATGAAATTGTAAAGAAAGGAGAACTTTACATGCGAAGGATGTGTGAAAGGACTACTGTTCTTAATTAATTATTGCTTGTAGCTTCCTTGAACTTTCAGTTTAGTCTTTAAAAATTTAAATTTTAATCTAAACTTTCAGCTTCTAATATATATTTTACGTATTCGTTGCATTATTCTGATGTCACTGGCTTACCACTTTGGAACGATGACAACAAACTGTGTTCCGTCTTTGATTTGATGTCCAGTCCACTTGTCAAAAAATTGATTACAATGAAAAAGTATAACATTGTTGCCCAGATGTGTTAGATTGATATGAGAATAGAAGTATCCTCTCCTTCGATATGTATCCCTTAATACATTTCCCATGTACGTGCCCACCTGACAATAACGGATTCTGTGACTGGGTAGTTTCATTTGTAACTCTGTTATCTTACAATAAAAATACTGATATAAGCCTCTTTGCTTCTGTAGTTTCTTATGCAGGCGAAGGCTACTTGCCCATCAGATCCACTAGTATACAATGAACTTGGTGTTGTTGCTTATCATTTGAAGGAGTAAGTACTGTTACTGTATCATGAGAAATGCAACCTTAAATAATGAATATAAGATAAGTTTGTAAAGGCATTCGAAAAGGCTGACCATTTATTTCTAGTGGTCTATAAGTAAGGATCGTACATGCACAATTTTCTCAAATGATATGTATATTGAATCGCAAAATATTAACTCTACCATTCTATAACAGTCAACTTTAAATGTATGGGTATTTAACTGGCCCAATGTGGTATATTTATCTGGTGGACTAGTGCTTCGTTTTTCTCACATCCATATTTGTTCTCTTAAGTTGCAGAGTGCAGAATGATTGTAGTTAGTAGGGTTATAATTTTTTTATATTTTGTTTTATCATATCTACACTTTTTTTTGGGGTCGAATCCTTTAATATCAAAGTAGTCTTATGATGGATTGACAACTAAACGAAGGATGCTAATTAAATCTGCTTGAAAATTGACTCTAATTTTCCGAAACAAGTCACCAGAAGGGGAAGTAGTTGGTAACAATTTGAAGAGAGGGAAATAGTGTGGACTCGCAGTGTCATATAACTTGAGAAATTTAACATTTGGGGTCCTCATGCTGTATGATTATTAATTGGCTCATATGAAGTTGCTACTGCATTAAGATTATGGAAATTGTATTTGTACTCTGTAATTTATGTGGACTATTAGGTCGTATAATCAAATCATTTGCATGTTTTCTTTCCCTTTTAGTCTGTTCTATTTGCTGGCCATTTGTCACAAATTTTCTTTTCAGCCACACCTCTCCGATTTGTACTATGTGATTTTTATCAACATCTCTCTTTTCAAACAGGTATACTAGAGCTGTGTGGTGGTTTGAGAAAACTTTGGCTCAAATTCCTTCCCCTTTGGGTGAAATGTGGGAACCAACTGTGGTTAATCTTGCTCATGCATACAGAAAACTGAAGTATGTTATTTATTTGATCAGAATTTCTAGCATTTTGTTTGTTAGCAGTGTCTGTACTTCTTTCATCCTGAATTTTTTATTTTTTTCTAGGAGACTTTGGTACCTTTGTTTTGTGGGGTTGAGAGAATGTTCTCTGGAAATTTTTTTATTTATAGTTTTTTGATATAGCGCAATTTGTTTTCATCTTCAGTTTCTCTCTTCTTACTGATGTCTATGGTTTAGTCTTTATATGTAAAACTAATATTTCCTCTAGTCTAACTAGATAATTCTACTCTGTCTCAGGATGTATGATGAAGCCATTAAATACTATGAGAAAGCGCTTGCATTGTCGACAAGAAGTGTGAGTACTTATGCAGGTCTGGCATATGCTTACCATTTGCAGGTATCTAAAGTTATAAATTACTTTTATGTATTTTAATTTTTTAGAGAAGAATTGTGTTTATTGCTCGTTTTGCTGGGCATTGCTTCTTGTTCTGGAAATGTGTTAAAAACTTGGAATCTGTGAATGGATAAATATTAGCAAGGGCTTCCGAGTTGATATAAATGAATAATTTCCACTGGTTGTGAGAATGTGAGGGCAAAGTTCCACAATGGTGAGGGATCAAACCCTGCAAGGGCTTATAAGGAGTTGGGCTACTCCCCATATAATGTGGCCAATTGGTTTTATGGTGGAATCCCAACTTTCTCAGGTTGTCCCACGTGTGAAGCTCAAAGGCACACATGCTCCACGTCACCATGTTTGTGTTGTTCACGTATTAGGCTTGAAAATTCGCCACACGTGAGGGGGCGTGTAATAATGTGAGAACAAAGTCCCACATCTGTGAGGGATCAAACCATGCAAGGGCTTATAAGAAGTTGGGCTACTCACCATATACTCGGTTTTATGGTGGAACCTCAACTTTCTTCAGTTGTGTACTTAATGCAGACTGTTCTACCAATAAACACTCATATTTGTAGTTAGATACATGATGTTCTGGATGTGTGATCAGTTTTCAATATCTCCCTGTCATATGTGGATAGAGAAGCTTCACGTTTGGAGTAGAGAAGAAAATTTTAAAGTTAGTCGGCAGATAATATGCTTGTTGCATTCTCTTGTTTTCAAATGTTTCTCAAATGTTTAGTGAGGTATGCTGGAAACGTAGAAACTTGGATGGGTAAATAAAAACGTTATTCAACTCTAAAACAATGAAATTGATCTGTTCTTGCCTGGAAAATGTTAGTATCACTTAGAATCTTGTGTCCAGACACTGAAACTTCTAAAAATTGAGTGCATGTGTCTTTCATCCCAGTCCAGTATGATGACAGTACTTAGTGTTATTGTTTTTATGCTCTCGTTTTCACTGCTTTGCAGGATAATCTTAATGCAGCAATTTCATTCTATCATAAGGTGAGTAATTGCTCACTCTCTCTCTCTCTCTCTCTCTCTCTACTGACTGTGAGGCTGATGATTCTTTATGTTGTATTGCATGACTGTGATGAAAAACTTTAAATTCTTTGTCGTACATGGATCCATTAAAATTTCCGCACGATGCCTTCATGCCCAAACACACTTTCTATGCACCTGGAATATCTTTTTAGATGCTCATAGTGTTAGCATGAGATTGCCTGTAATGGCAGGAAGATAGTATGATTATGACAGAGGTATGATTACGTTTCTTTTGTTGTCTGTGCAGGCTCTATGGCTAAAACCAGACGATCAGTTCTGCACCGAAATGTTAAGCTTGGCTTTAGTAGATGATAGCCGTCGTGGTGTGGACTCCAGAACTGAATTTCTAGGCTTAATTACGTTTGATGAACGCGTTTAGTCTTGTATGCGTGCTGTATTTTATGTGCAATAGATACCCCAGTGCCTCGGATTTTATCAGGTGAAGTAATATCTTAGGTTTTCTTGTATCAAAGTAATATGTCTGAACCTGTTAGTATCAACGTTTGATTGTTGAAATAGAGGTACCTGGGAGTTTATTCATGATTTTGGCCAATCCGTCATTTTAACCAGTTGTCTTATTTAAACAAAAACGATGTGGGTAATGAAGGATTAGGCAAGCATAACGAAAGAAAAGAGTGATTAGCAAAGTGCCCCAAAATCTCCCTTATGATTTTTGGCCAACTTCAAGGCCGACATAAAGATCGATGCCCGCCAGACATTATTAACAATGATGCGAAGTAGTATTACAGAAAGTAGCATAAAAAGTACCGTAATCCCTTGGAGAAGCCTCAATTGACCGATCTCGGAAGCTATACTGCCACTGACTGTATTGTCATTTAAGAATATCCCTACCGCAGAGAGTAAGACAACATATATAGAGGAACTAGGCATACAAAATCTATAGTTTCTCTTATGTAACTTTCTTAAAGCTCAAAAACGAAGAATAATTAAAGCTCGATGAGTCATTAACGCAACTTAGTCATGCAGTCTTCCGTATCGTACTATGTTAATTCCCTCTTCAGTCTCTTTTCGTCCGAGCAACATCAGCAATGTATTGATTCAAGTGCTGACCAAATATTTTCGTAGAGAATGACTCTGTGACATGCCGTCGTGCTTCTATACCCATTCTCTGAGCCATCTGCGGGTCTTTTATGAGTTTAGCCATAGCCAAGGAGAACTCTCTTGGGTTACAGTCACACAGAAATCCCGTTTCACCATTCTTAACTGTCTCTACAGGGCCCCCACTGTTGCATGCAATAACAGGTTTATGAGCGGCCATTGCCTCCAGAGGTACAATGCCAAAGTGTTCATCCTGCATTTTTGAATATCTCATATTAATTTCATTTTCCCCACTATCCAATCAACGGAACAAAATTATGTACTTTTTACCTTTGGCGTATAAAGGACGCATAGGCATTGGGAGAGAAGTGCATTTCTTTCTGCTGTCGAGCAAGAGGTGATGAAGTTAACTTGACTGGACACTCCTTCCCTTTCTGCTAGGCTTCTGAGCTCCTCTAAGTACTCAACATTTTCTCTCAGACGATTATCGAAGCCACCTAAAACATCAGACATGTATTACATTTATCATTCCCATATGTGCAGAAGTTATGCAGCACTACCAATCAATTAAGGTATGATACATGAGTATATCAATGTCAAATTAAAGTCAACCAGTAAAGCATTGAAGCAGAATTGATTCCTCTTGGAATACGGCCCGGGCAAGGGTTGACCAGGGTAAACTGAACCTAAGGACCCAGCATAACTTATTCTGCTAGCTCATATAGAAATCCAATATGCATATGGTTGTTTACCTAGCATCCACAATAGGTAAAAGGCAACCCCATACAAACCTCGAGTGACGAACACATACGAGTCCCCAATATGACCTAACTTTTAATTCAAGACAATATTTAATATTTAAAATGTTTAGACTAACACGGTCAGAAACTATTGTTTAAGTTAAAATAGAATCACTAAAACTATGACACTTGTTTCTTACAGCATCTGCATTGTTTGGAACCCTGAGGAATAACTTTTGAGAGGGCAAACGAGTATGTAATCCTCACCTCACCAAATACCAAGTCACTGGCCAGTGTTATTTAAATTTTGACATCTTTATATACTTTTCATATATATCATGCAAAATGACACCCAAATATTTCGCAAATAACAAAGGAAAATTTGAACACCCAATACAGGGTTCTGAATTGGCTGTACGTCAGACAAGCTTACAAAACTGCTCATAAAAGGCATATGATACTGTAAAGCTCTCAACATGTAAATGAACTAAGGGAAAGCTTAACCACACAACCAGGTGATTACTGCATGCTTCTACGTGGTTATTGAGAGCCAAACAAAAATGGAAACAGTCTTTCAACAGCAACATAAGGTAATGAAGGAACACGCATATCCTATAGAATCATTAAGATTAATAGGGAGATAACAAGTCGGAACATGCCTGCAATTGTCAAGGAAGCTTCAGCCAGATCAGGACCTTGAAGGACATCCCCTTCAAGGGTACGAAGCAAAGCAAAAGCTGAAATTGCCAAGTCTATATTCTTTTTCCTCTCGAAACGATTGATAGACAGAAAATTTAGCCTGGAACGAAAAAAACCAAAGCAGGAAAAACAACAGTAAACTACCAGATGAAATTCAGAGAAGAAAATCTTCAAAGTTATGGTTAGATATAGACTCATACAGGCACCCTAAAAGTAAAACCAAAGGGCACCAGCAAATATACAAACATGTTCGTTACTTGTAAGAATTGGCGGGTTCATTAAACTGATTCACATTAACAGCCGGATAAAGAACAGCTGGCTGAATCCCTCGAGCGGCAAGATGCTTAAATGTCTTTGCAAACATAGATGCTGTAAATTTGCTGTTAACAAGAATCTTATGTGCCATTCCTGCAGCATTATTTATCGAAAAGAATAAGGAAATCTAGTAAAAAAATAGTAGTATATCCACAACAAAATAACACTGAAAAATACACAAGAAGAAATAGAGGAATGTCATAAAGCCGAGATATGGAATCAGACCAGTTGTCATTTCTTCTATGAAGTCTATGGGTTTTCTATATATCCTCCTCAAAAGAGTCGTGTGTTGAGCCAGCAATAAATCCGGAAAATGACAGTAAAACAAAACCTGGACAGAAAGACGTAAAGTATTAAACAACCATACTACTGGATGCTACCAGATAACAATTCACACGAATTAGGTGCAAATACCTTTGTTGCCTTCTTAAGCTTCAGTAGTGGGATGACAACAGAAACCTGATCTGCTAGTATTACATCAAATGATGGCCACATGACCAGCATGCAGAGAGCAACAAAAAGGCACCGTATATATGCACACAAAGCATGGAGTCGATAGAATATATGTCGGGGTAGGAAAGATCCATATACAGTAACAGGAAAGATACCTGTAAAACCAAATGACAGTAAAACATCAAACTATGCAGCGATCTTGAATGACATATGATCAACATCAAACTGAGAAAAATAAAAACAAAAGGAAGGAAAACATGTTATGTTGTTCCAACTTCTATACATTCCCAAAGGGCCTACAGGAAGTGAAACGTGTAAAGTTGTAAACCATCTTCTAACCCCAAGGCCTAACATCCATCTACCTACGTAGTCACCTATTTGAGGAAGTCCCCATTTACCATATTAGAACAGGAACATCCAACCTAAAATCAATTGGCGATAGGTGGAGAGGCCCGAGATGATAAAACACTTGTGCAAGGCTTTAGTTCACCAACGTCGGATTCACACCCTCAAGAGGCAGGTCTGTATTTTTATCCATGTTTCTCATAGAGTAGACACACCAAGACTAGCTGGTGTACCGTTATTTCTTCCTAAAAACAATGCATACTATGTTCTTCTCTTATATGTAAATTGGGCCATCATCTAAATCTTCCACTAACACTCACAAACAGAAATTACAATCTCCTTTCTACAACTTCCTTTATTTATTTATTTAAGGTTTGTCTTCGCTATTTCCGACTACTGGATAGTCCGGATTTTTATCCATTATATTGGCAAGTAAAAAAAATAAAATTTCCTCAATTCAACCATGACCTTTCATTTCTCGTACTACTGACTAGTCCGTACTATTGAAGAAAAATTGATTTATTTATGATATGGTATTCCAAATATGGTACTTATCAATTTGATCAAAGCATAAATTGAAGTAGAGAAAGCCACACACACCAGAAACGGTCTCCTCAAAGCATCGATTTTTATCGTGGTGGGAAGTGAAGACGTGAACTTTGTGGCCATGTGATGCAAGTTCGACAGCCGCGTCGACGATCAGTCTTTCAGCTCCACCTACCCATCACATTCACCACAACAAAAACTCAATCCCCAAAAACTCCTTCACAGTTTTCAAAAACAACCCAAAAACCCCTTCACAATTTTCAAAAACAACAGAAAGAAAAGAGAAGAAGAGGAAGTTACCGATGCCCAGATCGGGATGAATGATTGCAACGTTCAACTTGGAGCCTCCTTTCTTCTCCGCCATTTCTTTCAGCTCGTTCTTTCTCCCCAATTATCTGCAGAGTCTAATTCAGAGTCTCAAGGAGAAGCTTTTCTGCTGATATTGGGCCGAAACGGGCCGGGTCTGCCCGAAAATGTGTAATTATGAAGTGGGCTTTTATAAAAGCACCTGGGTTGGTTTGATAGAATCCGACCCGGTTACAGTTTCGAACCACAGCAGTCGTCTTTCTTTGTTTCTCTAACACAGAAAGGAAGAGAGAGCGTTTGTAAGACGAAGGAGAGAAATGGGTGGAGAAGAAATAGCGGGCCCACCAGCCCCGAAGGTCCTCCGTCTCCTCTATTTCGTCGGCGCCGGCTGTAAGTCACAATCTTTCAGATTTCAAAGTTAAAAAATCTTTGGTTTCTGGAGAGAGAAAGTGTTCTTCTTCCTGTTTTAGAGAGAGAAAGTGTTCTTATTTGAATTTTGGCCCATTTTCGTTTGATTTTTTTATGTGTAGTTATTTGCACGGTTGGAATCAACAAGTGGCGCGAGATGCAGCGCAAGTCCATGGCTTTACAGCAACACCAGCAGCAGCAGCAGCTCCCCGAAAATGCCTCAAATGCCCTTGAGTGATCTCAGGTTTTTGGTTTTGTGAAATTCTTGATGAATGTGTGTAAAACAATAACAATTTGAGTAATCTGATTTGAAATTTTGCATTAATATGGAATCTTGCTGTTTTTTGAGCTGGATTTTTTCGAATTTCGCCGCGGATTGTGGCAAATTAGTCTGAGATTTTAGGTTTATATGTGCCCTCCAGATGAACTCTGGTTAGAATGATCGAGCTTTAGTAGCTTGTTTGTTGAATTTTATGGCCGAATAGTGGACGAATTTGTATCTTTCGATGTATAAAATACTTAATATGAATAATTATCGGCATAATGTAAGAGCCCTAGTGACCAAAATCAACTTGAGATTGGAGATTTGGGATGAATTTTTTATTTTATATTCTTTTCGGCTTTCTTTTGTGTAAAGTTTTGTGGAGTCCATAGTTTGATTCATGCAGTAGTATGCATTGCACCCTTCCTCTGTTGAACTTGTTCCTTGACTTTATATGGAAGGTAGAGTTTTGGCCTTGAAAGTCAAGCCAAAGCTAATTCGTCATTTGTTGTTCGGTGAATAAAGCTAGAGAAGAGTTCAGGCAATCCCGTAGAAACAACACAGTAATGCATGCTTCTAGTTATTCACTTTGGACGGTCATACATTGTACTCTTGAAGATGTCGATTATATGTTTGTGGACTTTGTATTTGTGAAGTTGTTTTGATGCTAGACCTTAAACCATCTCCACGTATGTGAGCAACAAGCATGCTTTAAAGCTATTAGTAAACTAAACCTAGTGATAGTCCTGAAATAGGCGATTTGTTAGTAATTCGTAGTGGCTAGGAACTTGGTAGTTTCATACGGTTCTGTCATGGATTTTTGCAGCACGCTTTTGAACTTGCCCTTTTGATTATTGTGAGATACTTATGTGCTAATCTCTGTAGTTTAACTTCTAACTATACATAATGTACTACGAGGCCCTCACTCTACTAAGTTCTGCAACCTTCACATAACGTAGGTTATATGTTATGTCGGTTCTCTTCAAATGTTTCACTGTGTTTCTCCATAAATATGTCAAAATTAGTTGTGTCATAAGAACGGAGTTTGTAAAAAATAGAGGGTCTGCAGCTGCTTTGAGATATATATAGTTTTGCCAATAGTGATTGTTCGAGTCTGACATTCTTCTGGCTACATAGTTTTATCTGTTGCAGTTAGATTTTTGTTTTTCTGTTTAGAAACGTTCTTTTGTCAAACAATCAAGAAGATTATTGATCTGGCTAACCACACTGGATTCAGAATGTGTGGTCATGATTGAAAATCTCCAACCATATCTATACATTTATAGACTAAATTAGACGCGTCATCATTCATCGATGTCGCGTGAGTTGCATGTCAATTTTACTCTTGTGGTGAAAAAACTGTTAATAGTACCCTTATTGGTTATGTTTCTTATCAATCTCGGTACAATTCCTAACCAAATTACCTCCAATTTGGATCAATGTGTGCATCTAGCAAGGGTAACTGTAGAAGTCCGTTCAAGCCTAGCCTAGGTTGAGGATGTGACTAGCTTGAACGACTCAAAATGACCTTTTTACCCCTGCACTTGAATGGAATTTGGATAATGAGTTGGAGTTGGATTCAAAATGAAGAAGAAAGATCTGTACCTACATGAATATTAGATGGCAAAAAATTTTGAGAGTCCATTAAAATCTGGGGTAGCATCTTTCGCTCTCCCAAACCTTCTATGCGCGGAAGAAGATGAAGATGGTGATGTTCTCACTTTTGCTAGTAATGACATATGGGGGTTTTACTAGAGTTTAATGTTGGTACGCCACATGTTATTATATAATTAAAGTGACTTTTTTTTAGTGTTCTCCAATTATATAATGACATATGGTGTTTTGGTCTATGTTTCAGACACTGAAAAATGTCTAGTAGTTAAGGTCTTAAATTTTCTCTCATGAATGACGGTTAGTACTACAGCAAAGGCGAAGTCTTAAGTTTGATTCTTGCCAAACGCAAATTTCACTTGTAAGTGAGAAGTTTTAGGTTCGATTCTTGCCAAAGACAAATATGATTCACATTATTACTAGCTCATTATAAGACTAAGCCCACTCCTCACCTTTAGTGTAGATAATATTGTTTGTACATTACAGTCTAGTGGTATTCCTCTTCACTTATAAATGAGAAATCTTAGGTTCAATACTTGTCAAATGTGAATTTGAATCACATTATTGTTAGCCCATTGTGAGGCTTAACCCACCACCTTCCCGTTAGTATAGATAATATCGTTTGTGCCAAAAAAAAAATTCATGTATCAACGTAATATCCCCACTCTTTTTCTACATAATTTTATTGAACATTTGTGTTTTTTTTTTTAAATTTGAGTAAGACGCATAAAACTAATATCAACCTAAGCATATTTAAATTTATTTTATTTACATGTCATTAATTTTGTTTGAAATGAAAATATTTTTGAATTATAAAATATTTATGGGAACTTTCATGAAAAGGGTGTGGGCTAAGTTTATTTTAATAAAAAAATATGTTATAACTTTATTCAATGAAAAAGACTTAAGTTTTAATGAAAAACTCTTAAATTTTAATAAAATGAACAAAAGAACTTAAATTTTAAGGAAAAAGACATAATTTTAATATTAAAAAAAATTAAAAAAAACTGACGCACGGACCCATGCGTTTTTACACAAAGTGTTTATGAAACTTGCTACACTGTTTATGAAACGTAACAGTAGATAAAGATTAATTATATATGTAGTTATATAATAATATATATGTATAAAACAATAGAAAATTCCTAATTCTACTTTTGTGTATATAATCTACAAGGGACGAATTTGACTAAATTCGTGCACAAACAGTAGTCTAATACAGATGCGAAGAAAATATTGGAAAATATATAATTGTTCGAGAGAAAGACGAGAGGCGTTGTTGTCAGGGAGAGTACTTGATGGAGGAGAAGGAGATGAAGAATAATGAGGCGATGATGAAGTATATATTGCAAGAGCTTTAATTAGGTTTTTTTTTTTTTTCCCCTTTTCTTTTCTTTTCATTTTCTTGTCCTTATCATTAAATAAAGTTATATGACGGCTTTCGGTTAAAACTCAAAGTTTTGAAATCCTTTTTATTAGTTTTCCTACTATTTTTTGGCGCATTAGGGTTTATACCCCTTTGTTGGCTCGTTCACATCATAAAATTACCATTGAAATATAAAAGTTGTGGACAAAAGGATTACTTTGGAGTCTTTGGACTAAGATTAGTGCTCTTCGCCATGAGATATATGTATGGATGTGAATTTTAAATTGAAACCAAATTGAAAGGTACTCATGTCAATTTAAAACGTATTCATAATAACTTGAAACATACCGATGCTAAATTGAAACGTCTCCATTCCAACTTGAAGCGTATAATAACAATTTGAAACATACCAATTCCAACTTGAAATGTACCCACATATCGGTTTGAAACGTATACAACGCTAACGTACCCAATACAAACCATCTTTGAAAAGGAAATGTATCACTAAATTCTATTTTCCAAATTACCATGGTACGTGAAAAAAGACGGAAAGATAGGTAAAAAGTGTGCTAAAACAAAATGCTTACCTTTGATACAAATACTTAGATCAAAAGGTGTGCATAAAATGAAGTATGAAGGAAATGAATATAATCGATAAGGGAGAGCAGAAGAGGGTTGAAGGACCGATCGAGGAAAGCAATGGCATGAAAAATTGCTAATGGTTGTAGAAGAAGATAGCACGTTATTTACTTGTATGGTATGGAATGAGGAAGAACATGTACATTAGAAGCATAATTAGGTCAAGTTTGATGTGTTTTAAGATTTTTACACTTATGTACTACATTTAAGAGATTTGGGATATTAATATGATAATTATTAATCAATTATAGGTACATTATAAGGGCAAATCATGCAATATTGCATTAAAATATGCTTGTAACATCCCATATCGTCCAGGGGAGTAGATCTTGTAAGCCTTATATGTATATTCACATCTCTACCTAGCACGAGGCCTTTTGGGAGCTTACTGGCTTCGGGTTCCATCGGAACTTCGAAGTTAAGCGAGTTCGTGCAAGAGCAATCCCATGATGAGTGACCCACTGAGAAGTTCTCGTGTGAGTTCCCAAAAACAAAACCGTGAGGGCGTGGTCGGGGCCTAAAGCGGACAATATCGTGCTACGATGGAGTCGAGCCAGGGATGTGATGGGGGCCCGGGTCGGGATGTGACAATTTGGTATCAGAACCATTTCCTGGTCGGAAGTGTGCCGACGAGGACGTCAGGTCCCTAAGGGGGTGGATTGTAACATCCCACATCGCCCATGGGAGTGGATCCTGTAAGCCTTATATGTATATTCTCATCTTTACCTAACACGAGGCCTTTTGGGAGCTTACTGGCTTTGGGTTCCATCAGAACTTCGAAGTTAAGCGAGTTCGCGCGAGAGCAATCCTAGGATGAGTGACCCACTTAGAAGTTCTCGTGTGAGTTCCCAAAAACAAAACCGTGAGGGTGTGGCCGAGGCCCAAAGCGGACAATATCGTGCTATGGTGGAGTCGAGCCTAGGATATGGTGGGGGCCCAGACCGGGATGTGACAATGTTACTTATAAAATATGTGGGACCTTAACTGTAGGAAAAATATTTAATCAAATTCTTAAAAGAAGCTAATGTTTAATTTAGAAAATTTAAAAACAACCTCATTAAAAAATTATTTTTGTAGTACTTTAAAATCTTATTTTGCATTTCTTAAAAAAATTATTATTTTTTTTTTTTAAATATAAACATTTGTACTGCACAATGCGAGATTTAGAATACTAATAATAACACCCTAAAAACAAATTTGTTTTATTATATAATAGTGTTTAACATTCAAGTAAAATTTAAAAGTTAAAGTTCTTAAAACATTTTTTTTTTGTTTGATTTTTTAAGATTAAACTGTTTTTGATTAATCACTTCAATGTTACGTTTATAGTCTTTTTTACTTATTATTTATTGATATTCATAAATTTACCATTAGTAAGTCGCAAAGTTTGTTTGATTAAGCCCTTGTTTTCTAACATTAATAAATTATCTTACTCTGAAGAACCATATTAAAGAGAGGCATTTTATAAATTCTCCGCGTGGCCCAACTTGCTTCCACGTAGCCATGTACGTGCCCTACTGTCACTCCAACACCATTTCTTCTTTCGCATAAAACCCACCACCCATTCCCATTAGGTGCCCTTAGACTCTGTTCAATTTGGCATCAGAACAAACCAAAGATAAAACCCTCCAAACTTTCATCAACGGTCGTAGACAAGTAAACTAAACCCCCCACCACCACAATGAGCAGCTTCACCAGCTTCTACGAGACGTGGTTTGAGCAGCTTCACCACCTCGTCCACCAGCTCTCCACTTGTCCCAGACCCCCCACAACTCCTGACCACCACCGCCAACTCCTCCACGTCGTCCAGAAAGTCATGGCCCACTACGCCGAGTACTACCGTGTCAAGTCCCTTGCCGTGGAGCGCGACGCCCTCTCCGTCTTTGTTGCCCCCTGGGCCACCACCCTCGAGCGCTCCCTCCACTGGATCGGCGGCTGGCGCCCCACCACTGCCTTCCACCTTGTCTACTCCGAGTCCTCCATCCACTTTGAGGCTCACATCGTTGACATCCTCCGGGGCCACCGCACCGGTGACCTTGGGGACCTCACCCCCTCCCAGTTTCGCCGCGTCAGTGACCTCCAGTGCGAAACTGTAAGTATATAAACCACATCAATAACAAAAACTTTCTAAAATAATTGAACTAAAAAAAATAAATTCTACAGTGTCATCATATCGCAACAATATTTTTGTAACAGTTGGATTATTGACATTTCAATTTTACAACAAGTTTTTTAATTATATCAGAAAATGTGGATTGGTTAATATAAATTTGGAACTCGCCCTTAATTCTTGTAATTTACAAATGCATCTATTAGCACCCCAAAAAAAAAAAAAATTTTGCACTGTTCATTCCCTTACAAACGATTAGATGAGATTGCATTTGCATGTTGACGTTTTTGGATCGCTAAATAGCATCTTTTGGTGGAGTGAACAAAACACTCGGCGTTCTACATGTGATTTTATAACTTTACATATTCTTACAAGAAAAAAATTGGAATCAGTGGTCTAATTAAATGATGCTAGCTAGTTACTTCATTTTTTGGAGCAGGTGAAAGAGGAGAATGCGATATCCGATGAGTTATCGGAGTGGCAAGACGGGGCGTGTGAGCTGATGGGCGCATGCACTAATCTGGAGACGAACATGGGATTGTTGGTGAGTGTGTTGAAGAAGGCTGACGAACTGCGGCTGAAGACTCTGAGAAAAGTGGTGGAACTGCTGACTCCACAGCAGGCTGTGGAGTTCTTGATTGCAGCTGCCGAGTTGCAGTTTGGTGTCCGCGGCTGGGGGTTGAATCAGGACCGTCGGCGTGGGAATGTCTGAATTTCGGTTATGTTAATCAGACGGTGTTTTTTGATCGTTGGCGGAAGTTAATCGGGTACACACTGTCGTTAATTTGTTTGCAGTCTGAAGTACTACCAACATAGTAAGTAGGTTGTTTAACGTTGATCTTTTCGTGTTTTGAATCTTCCCATCAGCACCGTTGATCAAATAAAGAATTAATCGCATTATCTTTCACCGTTGGAGTAGTATAGGCTTTGAATTGAACGTTTCGTAGAAGGAAACAAAGTATTTTCTTCTTGTTGTGAAAAAAAGGAAAGAAATGTCACATAGTACTACGGTGTGATAGGATTCTTCTTCACTTTCGGTTTGAATCTCGTGAATAGCGAATTCGATATCAAATTAGGTTACCCATTGTGTGATTTAGCCGAATTTTTCTTCCATTTAATGTAAAAATATCAATGTGCTAAAAAATAATAATAATAATAAAAAAAAAAAAAAGGAAAGAAAGGAGACAAAAGGCTTTCGTCAAAGGTCCAAATTGATGGTACGTAGTTGGAAGATATTTTGACGTGGCATCGTGTGAGGCCCCATTGGCATGCAAGCTGCCACCTGTGCTTCTGCATGGACGTTACTTGTCATGCTAAGGACTTGCCAAGTAAGACATCAATTGAGATCAACCAGTCGATAACAACTGCTTATGCATGCATTTTTGTTGTTGCTGTTGGATTATTCATCCAGTTATGAATGTATATGTGGGCAACCCTCCTGATCTACGAAACAAATTAGAGAATTTAAGAGAGTTTGCCAGTGCTAATCCTTAACGCGGCTCATGATCATGTGCTTGTGAGACAGTGAGCCAACTATTTATTTGGTCGAAACATTATGTTAATTAGGAAACTAAATTTGCAAATTAAATTATGTGTCAACAAATTTTCAAAGAATTTCTAAACGTCTGGGGCAAAATTTCAAAATTTTAAATGCTGGAGGAGACAAAACCTGTCATCTACAAAGCATAATTTAATAAATAAACAATGCTAAAATTAAAAGTAAAATGAAATTAATTGGAAAGATTTAGATTGAGAGATGAATACTTTCTAATAGTCTAAACCTAGAATTGTACAGAAGATGTAAACATTTGTGCAGACAAGACTTTGTTTAAATGTTGAATTTATGGGGTTATTTTTTCTTATGTTATTAGAATTAGCTCATAGGTTATATGAATAATAGCTATTGTAGCATCTGTGTGTCTTAAGTTAGAGATGTGTTGTGCATGTGATAGTTGACGCATGTTGTAGGCGTGAGTGGGCTGCAATGGTTATCTTGCTCATTTCTATTTGATGAGTAATCGAATCCAAGAGGAGCAACGTACTCCATCTTCTCTCTCTTCATTGATTAGCTAAAATTGTGATACCCCGTCCTTGATTTTTCTTATTTTATATTATGGAACGTATGAAATTACCAAATTACCTTTAAGGCATGAACGTTGACTTTCGTTGACCATCTCGACGTAATGCTTGTTACTAATTTTCTTAGTTTATTCTTATCATACACATTGCCATGAATGCGTGGGTGTGAACAAATTTGAATTTGGAGCTATAACGAAGTTTTTACGTTTTGAAACGTCGAACGTTTTTCGAATATTTCACGTTTCATCTTTAGTGGCCTTAATTGGTGAGCCATTAGGACCCATTCTTTGTCCCTTGTCCGTTGGCCATATCCCTTCCCATGTGACCCCCTATCCCTTTCCCATTTATGTGAACCCTTTCTCCCTCTAAAGTCACACATCTCTTTACACTTTCTCCCTATCTACCTCTCGAGTCTCTCTCAAACCAACCTTCCTCAAGGGTTTTCACTAAAAAAAAATGCTTCACCTTGGTCCTTGTGAACTCAGAAACGAAGAAAACCCTCCAAAACCTTCATATTTCACTGCACAGTGCATTCACTATTCACCGAAGCTCTCCAACAAGTTTCCACCTTCTCTGACGAAGGTAAGCCTCGAACCTTGCCCAAAAGTTGTAGATCGTGCCTTGATGTATGTTTGAGAGTAATTTTGAGAAGTTTTGTTGATGTTTGGACGTAGGAAACTCACGGGGAAAGCTTCCCAAGTTTTCAAGCTAGGACCGTCGCTTTGCAGCCATTTTTCGACCAACTCCGGCCACCACTCAGTCCCAACTTGGCATGAATCTCTTCTCTAGTGTCAAGCTTCATTTTGGCTTTTGAAACATCGAAAATGGTTAAGAAACAAGCTCGAACAGAGCTCGGGAAGTTGAGCCTAGAAACCGCCCAATATCAGGCCTCGCGAGGAAGGCGAGCAACCTTTACTCGCGGGCGCGTGAGGTTGCGTGTGGTGCAGCGATGGCCAATGCATAGAGCACATGTGCTTCCCCGGAGGTACTGTGGTCCGCCGCCATCCATGGCGACAACCACAGCACCGTCGGCGACTTATCTCGGCCCGTGGCCTTCCGAGCCGCTGCCTTGACGGTGCTTGGGGGAACCCGAGGTCCCCCATTAGGTTTTTCGACGTCTTGAATCTGATTACAACGTCGATTTTCTCAAATTTAATCGTTTTAGTAGAGTTTTATTAATTGGTGCCTTTATGCGTTTAGGCGCGTTTGTTAGTGGCGTTTCCATCCTCCCTAGTTCGAACGGCTCTTCGATGATGGGAGTATCTGTGAGTGGACCCCTTCTAAAATGCATGATTTTATTATAGAAATGCATACATGAAAAGCATGATTTTATGACTACATTTTATGAAACATTTATTGAGTTATCGCATTTACGTTTTATGATATATCATCATTTATTGAATTTACGTTACTGAGATACTTATGAATATGATTTATGATATGATGTTTGAGCTATTAAGCTCCAATGAGATATATTTTGGAAAGATTATGTTCATGGTTTTCTATGCTTACTTAGTGGATATTCATACATGTGCCTTCGGGCAGGCGATGTAGTGCCTTCGGGTGGGCAATGTAGTGTCTTCGGGCAATTGTGATATCACTACTAAGCACACTGTATACGATATATGTTTTATGAAGGTTTTATGGCATGCTAGGGTTTTCGGAAAACCTATTACTTATTATGCTATATGAGTTTTCTAAAACTGGGGGTTAGTACGTTGAAGAATAACTGTTTTAGTATTACTTATATATAAACTTGGTCTACTCATGTTTTGTTTTGCGCCCCCTTCAGGACCTAGGAATGAGGCATACGATCCAAGCTACAAGGCATTCCCATATCAGTCAATTAGTGTCCTCCTCTTTACGTATGACATCTTTTGTAATCACACTTTCTAGTATTCCTTCCACTTGTATTTCGAATTAGTAGTATGCTCTGAACATGTCATGCATTATCACTTTTAAATTGTTGGTAGTTGAATATTATATTTTATTAAGGTTTGTACTTGAATACTATATTGCGTTGTTATGCGCAAAAATTATATGCATGTTTTACATGTTCTTGGCATATGCATTCATGAAATGGCTTGCATCACTCTCGGATGTTGGCCAGCACATAGGCATCCCGTTGTCCTTGGAACACCGGGATCAAGGTGTGTCAAAAATCAATTCTTATTGATTTTTAGTTTTTAATTTATAAAATGAAAGTCTAATTTCTAACACCTTTTGGCCGAAGTACTGTTGCAAAAATCATGACGACAAGTTTGAGTTTGGATATTAATTTGATGATTCATGAAAAAAAATTTGGCGTTGAATCACCAATGAGATGAAAAAAGAAAGTTTAAACATAAATTTTTTAGAAAGGAGGAACTATTCATGTACTAATTTTCTTAAGAAAGGGGAAGATTGATTGTTCACTAGTTTTTTTTCGTTTTTAATATATATAGACTAAAAATAATTGAAAAGTTCGTATAAAAAAATAATTGAGAAATAATTTGGTGCTGTAGAAAAATAAAAAAGCTCATGTGTCTGTGAAACAATTCAAAAAATAAAAATGAGAGACATTACGAGGATCAAACACGCAATCTTATACATAATAAATGCAGCAGATATAATTGTTACAAAAGAAACATTTTGATAATTAATCAAAATGTTTACTATTTATACTAATATAAAATAAACTCATATAAAAATACCCTAATATTTTTTGTGCCTTGATTTTTTGGGGCCCTAAATGGTCACCCTACTGGCACTGGGTCAGGGCCGACCATGTGGATTACCAATAGGAAATAAACATGTTAATCAACACTTAAATAATAATTCAATCATCAACAATCACATTATTTAGTTTACAAAATTTAATTTAAAATTAGAATCTTTCTAGTATTACCTGATTGAAAATGAAATGAAGATACAAAAGGAAAAGAAAATAAACAAAATACAGGAATGGTTGACAATTTCTCTCAACCGTCAATAGTCATAACCACTTTTAGCCAAACTTCAACATGCTCAACCAGCATGCCTCTCTTCTCAGACGAAGTACATGCCTTTCCACTCTGACAAAGTCCTTCCACATAAACCACCGAAAAAGAAAGACGAAAGTTGCATAACACTGCATGGAGAAAAAACTAATTGCGATTTCTCCTTCGTACGAACACCTAAAGCCTCTGCCCATATGCTTACGAGGGAAAGACATCAACCACAATAGGATCAACAAACACTTTCATAATTACATTATGCATTTGTACTTGATTTTCACGTTTGAATTTACCCATATGCTTACGAGAGAAAGACATCAGCCACAATAAGATCAACAAACACTTTCATAAATACATTATGCATTTGTACTCGATTTTCACGTTTGAATTTGGATAGTTTCGTTACTATCTTATAATAATTCAAAAAATATCTTACATCTATATTTCTTATTGAGAAATTCTCTTTGTCAATCAAAAGATGGTAAAGAAAAATAATTTGGTCTTTTATCCATAATTCTATAAAAACATTAAAAAATAAAAATCTTCCGCATTAAGAGAACTTTCACCGATTGGTGCAAGGCAAAGGCAAGGGCCTAAACTTGCTTTCCACCCCCAAAACTTCCTCCACCGGTCCAAATTGGGAAGAGCAAGTGGTGGGCCAAGCAAGGTCCGCCTAAGGGCTCGAACATTCAAAGCCCCGCTTTGCGCCAATGGACAAAGCTGATGTTAGTTACATTTTGATTTTGATTTTTTATTTTTTTTGTGTGTCAGGCGTTTGAACTGCATGCGTGAACTCAACAAGTTGGCCATCAGCTTCTGCCTTTGTGGGGCCCATTGCATGTATAACATCCCACATCGCTCCAAGGGAGCGGATCATGTAAGCCTTATATGTATATTCTCATCTCTACTTAGCACGAGACTTTTTGGGAGCTCACTGGCTTCGGGTTCCGTAGGAACTCCGAAGTTAAGCAAGTTCGTGTGAGAATAATCTCAGGATGGGTGACCTAATGGGAAGTTCTTGTGTGAGTTCCCAAAAACAAAATCGTGAGGGCGTGGTCGGGGCCCAAAGCGAACAATATCGTGTTACGGTGGAGTCGAGTTGGGGACGGGA